GATGAGAGCGGGTCCGCCAAAGTCCCGCATTATCCGCTTTGAAAGGTATTGCTTTTTCAACAGGTCGCACCTGGGCGGTAGCCAGGGGCGGAAAAACGCCCTTGATGCAAATTCACCATCACACCAACGTTACCCACGTGACCGCACAGCTGACGGCGCCGGCACATATTCTGCGACGCGATTCGGCGTCTCAGATGCTAAAGTAACGGCATACTTCTCCCAGAACGGTATACGATTCCGATCCGGGTTACCATGGTATCAACAAATGCCCGTCTGTCCTGCCCTTTGCTTCACGTGGATACGTCAAGCGCTATCAGCGCTGTACCTTGATGTACAGATATGTACCTACCTGTACCTCTAGATGTACCTTGCCACCACCATGAAAGCAGATGTTTATATTTCTTTGGCTTTTCCCAAAGTGTGTATTATGCGAGATCTTCAGTACACCAATTCGCTACAATCCTTTGCGATTAAAGGTATGAGAGTTTGAAACCCCCTAGGTAGAGAAAACGATGCACCCATACCAGGCCCATACCAGGCCCATACCAGGCCATTCACCCATACCAGGCCCATACCATGTCCATACCAGGCCATTCACCCATATCAGGCCCATACCATGTCCATACCAGGCCATTCACCCATACCAGGCCATTCACACGTGAAGTTGCACTATAGCTTTTAATTATCTCTCATGGCGTAAAAGAAGGTATGCCACGTTCGTCGTGCTCCTCACTTATTGTTAGATCTGACGCTTACGATTTGATCAGTAATGCCAATTTTTCGAAGTCATTCCAAATATCTCAGAATTTCTAATCGAAATAGCCGTTCCTGCGGGAGAAACCCCATTTTGCTCCACGCTCACCACTATGAACGCAAGCATTTAATTTTTCTTCCTTTTCCTTCGTGTGTTCTGTAATATTTTTGGCGCAATAACTTGTGAAAATGTTTTTTATGATAAATGCTACGAAAGCTTGAAATATTTTGGTTAGTCAAAAAAATATGCGAGAATGAAGCTATTGTTCCGCGAAGTCGACAAAACTTTATAGGATGGCCATGACTTCTTGCTATTGCGTTTACCCCGGTGGCTTTTTTATGCATACTTTGACTGTGGAAAGGGAAGTATCACAATGTCCATGGTGACGCACTGGTTCAAACTTCAACCGCTGCACTTGATAGCAGGCCCTTGCCGCCCACTGGGCCGATCACGTGTGTCGAGACGACGACCTGGCTAGGCCAATGCCTGTCGAGACGACTATCTTGCTAGGCCAATGCCTGTCGAGGCGATTCCTGCCCACGCTGCGGCCGCATTAGACATGCCGACGGGGTACGCTGCTTGATATATTGGAATGCGCTGCCATGCGAATATATACATGCATACATACAGCTTCATGTGCTCGGATGGCGACGTCTGGGGGAGTGGGGAGGGGATGTAGTTGTGTTCCAATTCAGACAGTGAATTGGGTGCTGGCTCTAGAGACGACGCCTCCGAGGCCTCTGGGTGGCGTGCTACGCCGCGTCACGCGGCTCCCGAGCAGCACCCAGCCTCCCCGGGGTCACCCGATCCGCGCCCTGCGCGCTGCGGGAACCAGCCGGTAGGTGGCGGTGGCTATCTGAGCTGCAGGGCACAGCCAACAGGCAGCGCTGGTTGTAGGTCGACAAGTGGTGTTAGTGGGCGCCCGGTTGCCCCTGTAAGCGGATCTAGCTGTTGCTTACTCGGTCCGCGCGTACCCGGTCTGCATAGGACTGGCACAGCACGATGCTGGCAGGGGTCTGGGCCGGACAGTCGGCGGGCAGAATCCTTCACCGCACGGCGCCACACCAGCTCAGCAGGAGCCTAGTGATCTGTTGTACCACGTGGACAGTCGCGACAGTCTCACAGTCACCCAGTGAGCGTGGCGCTGAACTCACCGACACAGGTTAGGGTCGCGCGTTCAACGGACGGGAGTCTAGTCTCGTCAATCACAGGGCTCATACAGCTCGCCGTGATTCCCGCAGATGCAGCCATCTCAGCACCAAATCACCGTACCCTCCGCTCCGGTATCTGGCGTGCGAAACACGACCGTAGAGGCTGCTGGATGGGTGACATCACCTGCAACCGCGGCGCGGGCCAGGCGGTCAAGCAGTCCCCGTGGACATCGGCAATGATTCGACATATCCCCTACGTCTCTTGGCTGCACTCGCTGACGCCGCACCACTCACCAAGCCTCGCCTGTGGCGTAACCTCGACTCATTCCAGCCGGTCGCCGGTGGCGTGGTCACGTGACCTGGCGCTCTGCCAGCGACGCCCGCCGGCTCGGACGCCGCGAGCGGTCGTCTGAGCGTCACACGCCGCCGCCAAGTGACCGGCGGCGCCGCACGCATGGCACGATTAAACAGATGAAATACACGCTTGGCTTTTACTGTGCTATGCCATGTCTGAAAACATTTCCTGGTAAAAAATACGCTCATTCATGCAACAAAAGGCCCACACATCTTGCATTCATTAAAAGCGAGTGGTCATGTCCCCGTGACATGTAGAAACTCTCGCTCAACTGTGGTCTCAATGCATGAGTGGTTAAGAGCCCTCATGGAGTGTGGCAGGAGGCTGTAGTCGACCGGAGCCTGATAAACAAACTGCCGTTTGTCACTGCTCTGCCGCGCCGTAGGCAGTCCGATGCCGTGTGACTGGCGGGTGCGTCGTCCTTTCGCGTCGATGTTTGTGCTGAGAATATTTGCCAATGCTGATGGTTGTTCCTTTGTGACAATATTCCGAAGAAAGGGTACGTTGTGGTGCAGTATGCCAGCCTCACATTCACGGCTGGGTTTTGGTTCCTCAGGTCGGAAATATGGTCGAACTTCCGGCGGCCTGACATTACTCTCGCGCAAAACTTTATGATTGACTGGACCTGCTTCAAGCTTGACTGGTTTGCGCTGCCGTACACAGATATGCAGCCACGAACTATAGAAATGACCACACTCTGTGCTATTGTGCCTATATGTTCACTGAGGAGACTATGCTGATGGCGATAAGAAAGGTTTTGCTAGCATTCATTTTCATAGCATGTTGCCCAAGCCGTTGGTACAGTGTGGAGACTGCTCGTTGCACTTTCGTTATCAGTTCAGTCAGTTCTAACTTTTTACGAGCTTCGATGATCCGCGTATCGTCCACGTATTGGACAACATGGACGCCGTCTTTGACATGAAGGCTGTCATTTGCAAAACAAACAAAAAAATTGTATACAACGGACTGAGGTCGCTGCCCTGATACACCCTTATTGGATTTTCAAGTGGTCCTGATTTTAAAGGTCCGATGTGTTTACAGGCGTATGCTACTTTCCGCCTGTGGTTTGGAAGATAGTGTCTAAACCAGTGAGGGCCAACGCCGTGGAGAAATAGCTTTTCAAGGAGCTTATCATGATTCGGCACTTCAGAACATTTGGTAAATTCAATAACACGAACAGCGAGATGTTGCCTCCATCCACAGCACGTAGTGCTATATCACGTACTGTCGTCAGTGCTGTTCCGGTTGCGTGTTGTTAACGAAAAATACTAAAAAATGTTGTGACTGGGCGAAGAGTTGGTGAGTATCGAAAAAGTTATACAGTTGCTCATGAACAGAACAGTTATACAGTTCAGCCATTTTAGTAGCATCAGGCACAGTCAAGATCGGTCTAAATTTGGAAGGTTCAGATAGAGATTCTGTCGACATGAAAATGGGTTAAATAAAGACATCTTCCAAGAAGAAGGAACTATACCGTTGTTCATGCTGATGTTCACGATGGCGATAATGATGTGACAGAGTACGGAAAAACAATTTATGACGTAGAGAGACGGCCCGTTATCGCCGCAAGAATTGGAGTTGCTCATGCTAAGAATGACAGAATGCATGTTTTCGAGTGGTACTGGTGAAAGTTTGAATTGTTCAGGAAATATTCTAGATAGAAGTGGTGGCAGGACCGGTATACTTGTTTCAGCTCCGACAGTGATCAGAGCGGTCGCTGTCTGACTTACCATTTGCGTGAAGCAGCTGTTCATGACGCTTGGCTCGATCTCTAGAGTTGTGCTCGGACCGGCTTTCTTGCCAGCAACGATCGGTGGTACGCATTTATGCAAACTGCTTGGACCTGCCTTTCAGATTTTCTTGCGGATGTCCTCACGGCTGTCATGACGAATGACTGATTTTGTCAGTCCATTCAGTTCCTTGAAGCGGAGATGGTCGCCGGAGGCCAGCGCAGCACGGCGCTCGGACACGACCTGCTTCGCTGCATGGGTGACTGGAGGTGCCGATGGATTGTAAAGTTTGATGGATTTTACCGGGCGATGTCGTCTAACACGGCGAGAACGTGACGCACGAGGTAATTAGCATGCTGACCAGGGTGTCTGAAGGTGAAAACCGGGGTCCAGTCGATCTTGGTCAGTCCCAGCTTGGTGGCTGTGAAGTCGACCTTGCACCGATATCGGCTCCGAGCGGTGTTGGTCGGACGTCTGCATCGGGGAAGGCTGTAAAGAGCACAAATAAAGTTGTGAAGACTGAAGTGGCAACGCCACACTCCCGAGCGGCTCCAGGCTGGTTGGTGAGGATAAGGTCAAGGGTGGAGCCAGGTGGCCGGTTGGTGGCGCCGCTGTCGGCGATGATCGATGGATGGAATGAACATCCCTGCAGAAGCGCCATTTGAAGGCATGCCGGATATTACACACGCTGGGCTTGTGATGTTATACTTCAGTCGGTGCCCACCTGTTCGCGCTACTTGGATGTCTACCTTCGTTGGTTCAGGCATAGTTTGGTTACATCGCAATTCCGTTTTGAAACGCTTGCTTCAGTGTCCCGGTGGGGAATCCCCAGTTACTCCCGAGAGGACCCTCCTGCTCAGCAGCTGGGAAAACCTCATCTAACACACGTCATTGATAGCTGTGGCCAACGATTTCTTTGAATCTTAACTCATGGTCTGCAAGGGAATGGCTGGCACTAATCCAAAGGCAGCAAGCTGCAATGTTGCAAAACCGGCTCCAGGAACGAGTTCGCCTTACTTGATGAGGCGTCATGTTAACGCGAAAAGGCGCAGATGGAGTATATCGTATACGAAGAGCGGCGAGCGTCAGTTGCAAGCCTGCCCTGTCGCAGAGAGCACCATGGCGTCCGTGGCGGTGGTGCTGGCCGTCCTGCTGATGGTGGGGATCGGCGCTCCTGACGCCGCTGGTGAGAGCCATACACCAACAGGCCAAACACACCCGCAGATCACTCGGCGCCCATTCAGTGACTGAGGCGATATGAGATGAGGCTGATGCAGCTCGGTGCAGTCATCTGAATAGATCTTTCTGTGCGCTGTTTGGCTCCAAGGAATCCACCCGGCTTTGTAAGGTATATAGCGGTCTAAACTTAGTTTGTCATGCTGTGCTCAGGCGTATTCACGAATGAAGTCAAACTTTTTTTTGTCTTTGTCTTTTTGGGTGCGAGAACTGGATAAGGGGGGCATGGCTGTATGAATAGGCAGATGATCTTTGTGCTTGCCTCGGCTATGAGCTGTTTTGTAGCATAAACTGTTTCCGGCCTGACTTGCTGAGATTTCCCCAGTCTTATTGTGTGGATTTAAGCACCCGTAGAAACCCACATGGTCGCTCATCTAATCTTGAAAGATAGATGAAATCAGAATGGTTTTTGTTTGAAACATAACACGCTTAAAACAAATATGTATCACTATAGAAAAGCCTGTGCGTTCACCGATCCATATTTATATCAGGCAACATGTTCTCTGGAAAAAACATCACAAGTCGGAAATTTGTCCGACCGAGTCTGTTGTCACTCGCTATTGCCACTAATCTCTATTGATACGTTACGTCAGAAAAGCTGCACAACGTTGCCAGAGGGGACGGAAGGTGTAATGCAGCAACACCACGAAGCATCGCACTGGAGAAATTGACCGGAAATATTTTGGCCCGGGCAGTAAACCTTTGTGTATGGCTCAGTGTTGGTATAACAAGGCAACGTGCGAGGCAACTTTGCGAAAGACATGTACATTACATCGTTCTAACATGTCTTGGAAGAGCGCTGTGGATGCGCGTCTTCTGCACATCACTGATATTTTGAAGGTGATGCTTGTTATCCCCACATGGCACCAAATGGCTTTTCGCTTAAATACAATCTCGATGTGCCAATGAGGGAATTCCTATTCTGCATAGGACTCTTTCGCGCGATTGAATTACTGATCTCAGTGTACTGACACCAAGTATTTGTACCTCCCACAGATGCGGCGAGACTGAGGCCGCTCTCCGGATGCTTCATACACGGGTGTCCTTCCGGTCAAATTTGCAAGCTGCAGCAGGTGGTCTGCTGCTGCGCGCCATGCTACCCCATTCCAGCCTGCGTCCCCATCTTCCCCTGAGCCACCGTCTGCGATCTCTGCGCCGGGTCACGACCCCGTTCGGATCGACCTGACTCAACTACCAACGCCAAACTCGACTTCCTGATTCAACTCGACATTGCTTCACTGTCGCTGCTCCGTCAGCCACCTACCCCGGGCCAAGACCATGTCAGGCTTCTGTCCACCGCCGGAACACGTGTTCCAGTTCAACGTGCAATTCGGCGGGTACGACAACGAAGTTAACTCCACCCTGCCTTCCGCGTATCCAGAGGACGAACAGCACCACCCTCGCCTGTCCGGGTTTGTGCCATGACTTCAGGTGCCCCCCCCCCCCCCTCCCCTTCAGCCGCCGACATCATCGCGTGTGCTTGCCGGGCAGCTTCTCTTGTCGTGGCGGCGCCGGTCGTCGTGGTGGCTTCTTTTGTGGTCGCGGCTTTTCTTGTCGCGGCAGCGTTTACCATTAAATGTGCCGATAGAATACATACTTTGACATTACGGTGTTCTTAATCAGCCACCATTTGGGGCGTTTCGCAAACTGCAGCTGACCAGTGGCTACATTTGACCGCACTTCTGCTATACCATAAAGTGACTGTCAGATAGAGCAATCAGAAAGGAAAAGGAGATGATTAGCCATTTTCGCTCTACGAACGCCACATTTACCTGTCACCGGACCAATGACGTTACAGGTCGCATAAGCTGACCTGCTAAGAAACAAAACAAAGACTTTTGATATGTTCTCTGAGTATGAAAATATACGACAGCTGTGTACTTTATTCCCAAATTTGCCTTCTCTCAGTTTTCTGGTTTGGTAACCTCTATTTGTTGGATTGACACCAGTTGCAGCTTGTTTGCCAAGCTAAAATATTAAGTTTTCCTTCCACCTGGTGAAAGAAACAAAAAAAAAAACTACTTTTTTGCCCCAGGACTCCAGGTGCCCCCGCCCGCTCCCCCTTCTGCCGCCGACGGAAATTAGGCAACTGTTCGTGTTAGTTCACGCGGTCCAAATGAAAAGTTGCAGCAGCGGTTCAACAGTTGAAGACAACCCGAAAGTAACCCTTTTGAAAAATTTTAGTGAGTGGAATGTTATTTAAACGGCCCATAGCGTTGCGCTATTTGAAATGTTTTCATACAAGTCCTAGAGCAGACACTGTGTGTAACTATGTAGTTGAACATAGGCATTCCTGTTTAAACCCACAGGCGCAGCGGCAGCGACGGGCAATTTTAGACAAGGCGCGCCCAAAACATGCCTGGGTAGAAGTGGGTCGCGTCCGCTTGTTGCGTCAATGTTTTTTTTTACATTGGCGGCATGTGGTACATACGCTGCGACAATGGACGCGGTTCGCATTTAAGTGGGTACTATGATCCAAACTTTAACAGAAAACTGCCGCAACTAAAAACTAATTTGACATCGCTTTTGTTCCGTTGCCTCCGACCATTCTGTATCACTTACTATGTTCTCATGCATGTAATAACACATAACGTTCATGATATTCTTAGAGCGCCTATTACGTACACTATTAATGGCAATTCGGCAGACATTTTATTTAATTGGTATTTACCTTGCACACTAACTGAGTAGTTTGTTCAACACATTTGTCCTCAAAGTAAGATACAGCCATGCTTATTTATCATTCAAAACAATTTGCCCACTTTTGACAGCTTAATATAGAATAACATCACATTACCCTACATGCAAGTACAAGCTCGATATTGGGACAATACTGCTAGTTAAGGTGTTGGCCTGGAAAGCGGCATTGTCAGTGAACACGCCGCATTTGTGACAATCAAAACTGCCGGTTATGAGCGCGAGGAGCCCGTCCTGATTGTGACCGCTGTGAGTGATGGTGAGGGTCCTGTCGTTCTTTATTTAATGGAAGTAATTTTAGTTGGGTTGGCGCTCTTCACCTTACGCTGCACCATTGCATATGTTCTTTGATGAGTTGCATACTTCGGGCCACGGGTACTTTTTCCTGACCAAGCTTCGCGGTTATGGTAGTGTAACAAACTTGTGAATGTTTCACGTATCGGCTAATGTTGAACGGGCGAACGTGGCATACACAGGACAACTAATGGCTTCGGCGGAAAAGCGTGGTTGTGGCGTCAGGCTTGCAACTAATGAAAATATCCACGCATCAAGCGCCGTCGTGAACAGTGACCAAAATCACACACAGGCACACCCAACGCAAGCATATATTTTTACACAACCTCTTCATCGGCACCAGAACCCAGCGGGAACACAAATGTTGCAGGCCGGCTCTGAAAGGTCGCGTACTTGAAGGAGAGTAATCAACACCCGTGGTTTCCAGCAATCGAACGCAGCAAGGATACAAACTGTCCCTCAAAGCAGAACAAAATGTGGCATTTCAATCGTGTGAGAAACCATCGGGTTCAAGCTCGGGTCAAGCCAAGGTTGAACCAAGGTCTGAATGGTCAAGGTCAAGCACGGACTAGTGAAGCGCCCCTGCTACGATCTGAACCCGGGCCCGCGCGTGCCGTTCTGTTCGGCGCAGCACTGCAACTCTCGCAGATGCATTTCGCGCATTTAGCGACCGGAGGCGATCCACTCCCGCGCATGCGCATAAGCTCGACGTCGAAACGGCCAGGCTCTCCATCGCAGCTGCCGGGGCCGACAAGCAGAGCCACTTCATCGAGCACCGTTGGCAGTCGGTGGAGTCCAACTCGATTGCTTCTACTGAACTGAAACTATACACGTATGAGGCGACAGAGCCACCGCCATCAACAACACATGTCTTTTCACGATCAGTAGATGAAACATCGACAGGAGCGCACATGTGTCCACTGCAGCACTGGGGCACGTATATGTCCACTGGAGCACTGGAGCACGTGTGTGTCCACTGCAGCTTTGGGCACGTATATGTCCAGTGGAACAGGGGGGCACGCATGTAAATTTCGACGTGCTCCATATGCAACCAGAGGGAATGGAGGCGGCATTCAGTCAGAAACTTTTCTGGATCAAAGTGTCCACCGGAGGGACCGCTGTGTAGTGACTCAAGAACAGACAACGTGAGTGACACAGGCAGGACAACTTCCAGTTCATCCTCCGATTTGGGACGGACACAGACGTACGGAACAAAACGGCTAGTGCTCCCAGGTAAGTATTCGTCAGTTGGATATCGCTGGGTCCGGTCAAACCATGGCGGTCAACCCCTCGCCCCACTGGAGCAGTGCCTTATTCCGATCCATCCAAGAAGGAAGCGGTCAGCTTTCAGCGCGCTTTCAAATGGCCGAGAACTTGAGTGTTGCACGTCTGATAGGCCTAGACTTCCTAAAAAATGGTCCCGTGCGCTATTTATCGTTGTTATTTTTGAGCTGACATCTGGTATCTCTGGGATAGAAGCTACACCCAAGGTACCGCACGTCGAGCGTGGAAAAGTTTGTGTTGCGAGAAATATCCCATCAGTGAGTCAGACGAGCTCGTCCGTTTAGGAGTCCTCGCGGAAGCGAGCGGCTCATCGGCTTTATTTATTTGTGCAGTCCGCCAGAGGCTGGGAAGGCGAGGGTGCTATGCGATATGTGGTGTACCAACGCTGTGATAGCTCTTCCTGCGTGCTCCCCCCCCCCCCCCCCAATCCGCCACCAAAAACAAAACAAAAACGGACGTCTTTGAATGCTTTAAGGATTCCATTCCGTTCACTACTCTCGACATGAATATATTATCAAGTAAAAACAAGCCTTGAGCACCAGCACAAGTCCACCGCTTCAAATCCGTCGAACAGCAGCTCATTCATTCTAATGTGTGTTCGGTCTGAGCGTGGCCAGTTCTACCTGCGCCAGACTGCTGAGTATCGTGTCATGCGACATCATCCCCGACAAATGTCTGTGCTACTTTAATCACGCCATAGTCCGCGGTAGGAGCTGTGACGAAATGGTTGATATTCTAGATGCAGTGCTCTCACGCATATACCAAGCATGGCGACATTGAACCTGGCCAGATGCCTATCATGTCAGCCCATGGTTACGTTCTCAGCTCATGTGGTGTCCAGCGAGAGCCCGGCACCAGACCTAGCCAAGGCACAGGCAGCGGCAGCCTGACCGGTTCAAAAAACGACCTAATAAATGTACAGTTTTGTTGGTCTGGGCAACTACTTCAAAACATTTAGTCAACTACTTGACATCGATAGCTTCATGTTTTTTCATATTTTATTTCATCGCAATGCTGCCCACTGCACGTCAAAATTGCTCAACTGCAATTATGAACGGACAAATAGAAAAAGAAGCACATCTTTGTATTTACTGGCACGGAAAGCCTTCAGATTATGTCAGGTAGGACCGCCAACACCAGATGCATCAGATTATTCTCATTTTAACAATACAGCTGGCTTTTATCAGGGCACTAAAAAAAAACGCAGTGGGCCATCCCTATCAGATTCATAGCAGGCGGAGTCAGCTCGCCCGACGTGTTGGCACATAAGTCTCAACACAACGGCCCGGCGCGTTACTCGACGGAATCAAGTGACCGAGCAGAGTCACCGGTGGCATCAACGGCAGGAGTCACGTGTTTCTCGCACAGAGATTGCGAGCATATGGCACAGGTAGACCGGTTCCAGCAACTCTGATACACGAAGCCCAAGACAGTAAGCGCCGCCACATGACGTGAGTCATGATCGGCAGGTACAGACACCAGCTGCGCCTCTTGAACACGGACACAGTGAACGGAAGCCTAGTTTTGGAGCGTACAGACCAGCGTAGCGTAGGACACGTCGCGCGCTATCAGCGCTGTTCCGCGCCGCAGACGGCGGCGCTGCAGAACAAGGCGGCCCCGCTCGTGCATTTGGTAACAACGTGCATGCCCGTGCACGCCCAGCTTCTTGCTGCCTCTAAATCCGGTTGCAAGCCTAAGTGCGTCATACGCCCCTCAGGATTACATACTGGCTGGAGATGATATATCTCAGAACATGTCTCGTCAAAAAAATGACACCACGCAAGACACCTGCATCACTGGCCGTGAAATAGGATCCCATGTAGGAACGTAGCATTAAGCGCTTTTGTGCCCTCTTCCCAGTAATGTTTTCCCAGTCATAATGAATCTAAGAGAAACCGAAGGCAGAATTCGTGACAACGGCGTAGTTCTGAAATGAGTTTCAGAGCGGACTCAAGCTGCCCCCCCCCCCCCCTTTGTCCTTGATCACTCCCGAACTTGGGGGCTCGTACCCAAGTTGGGAGCGCTGGAGCCTCCAACTAAATAGGAAACTATGACCCTGGTCGGTGACTATTTTAAAGGAAGTTCCGTCAGGGAGTCCCACCTTTTGCCCTTTTTATGCATAGTTACATCATACGGGTCCAATTTGATCGGTAATACCAGTTTTCCCGAAATCCCACTGAAAAGCACAGGAGTTTGATTTGAAGTAGCTGCTTCGACAGTAGAAATCTCAGTGGAGTCCTTCATCACCACCATGGAAGTAATAATTAACACTTGTTTGGCTTTTTCCAACGTGTATGTTGTGGGATATTTTCAGTACACCAGTTCGCAAAAG